ACATTTTTGGTCTTGAAAAAATTCCAAGGAGCAGGTGGCTGAGGCAGAAGAGATTCAAGAACCTGAGCAATGCGGGGAAGAGCATCTCCGTTGTGACAGGAGTGGTGGGAGGAGTGGCAGTGCACAAAGGGGAGGAACCCAGGGCTCACTGGAGGATCGCAACCCTGGTAGGGAAGAGCAAGACTTAGAACAACGCAAGGAGAGAGATGGGTCCACTTCTGCACATACATGAGGGTACTTCAGAAAGCTCATGCAAATCATTTTGAAATCCATGCATCCATTTTTTATAACATGTATTTCTTTAATTTTTTTTTTTTTTTGACAGGCAGAGTTAGACAGTGAGAGAGAGAGAGAGACAGAGAGAAAGGTCTTCCTTCCGTTGGTTCACCCCCTAAATGGCTGCTACGGCCGGCAAGCTGCACCAATCCAAAGCCAAGAGCCAGGTGCTTCCTCTTGGTCTCCCACGGGGTGCAGGGCCCAAGGACTTGGGCCATCCTCCACTGCACTCCCGGGCCACAGCAGAGAGCTGGACTGGAAGAGGAGCAACCGTGACAGAATCCAGCGCACCAACCGGGACTAGAACCCGGGGTGCTGGCGCCGCAGGTGGAGGATTAGCCTAGTGAGCCGCGGCACTGGCCTATAACATGTATTTCTGCCAACTTTTTTTTTTTTAAGTATTGTTTTTGTTTGTTTGTTTGTTTGTTTTATTTGAAAGATAGAGTTAGACAGTGAGAGAGAGAGAAAGGTCTTCCTTCCGTTGGTTCACCCCCCCAAATGGCCACTATGGCCAGAGCTACGCCGATCCGAAGCCAGGAGCCAGGTGCTTCTTCCTGGTCTCCCACGCAGGTGCAGGGGCCCAAGCACTTGGGCCATCTTCCGCTGCCTTCCCAGGCCACAGCAGAGAGCTGGACTGGAAGAGGAGCAACTGGGACTAGAACCCGGTGCCCTTATGGGATGTTGGCACCGCAGGCAGAGGATTAACCAAGTGAGCCATGGCACCAGCCCCTCTGCCAACTTTTTTAAAAATCATATTCGTTTACTTGTTTGAAAAGCAGAGACACAAAGAGAGAGAGAGAGAGACAGACAGACAGACAGATCTATCCATTGTTCACTCTGCAAATGCCAGCAAGCACTGGGGCTGTATCATGCCAATGTCAGAAGCTAAGACCTCAGTCTGGGTCTCCCTCCTGAGTGGCAAGGACCCAAGAACCCGGAACCTGGTCAACATTACCTGCTGCTACCCAGGGCGCACTGGAATCAGGAGCAAAGCAAAGACTGGAACCCAGGCAATCTTGCTGTGGAATGTGGGCATCCTAAGTGGTACCTTAACTGCTAAGCCAATGCTACTTTCCATGAAATTTTTGAAGATCTCACATACACAGGGATTTCAAAATTATTGTACCAAAATAAACTTAACTTTCAATTACATTGCCATGAATGATTTGAAGTATCTTCACATTCTACAATGAAAATGTATGATTTCTCTAATAATGAAAAATTATGGTAAACATTGCGAGGCCACCTCAAATCCTCTTTGGGAAAGGCAATATATAGGTGAGTTTACACATGGATATCACAAGTACACACATGTACATATCCTGTGAGACTCTCTGATATACAGTCTCCAGTGGAGTTATATGCTTTAGGATAGAGGTATTAAAGCCAATAAAAACTTCTTTACAATTAAAAAGCATCACTATTGAAGTACAATGTCAACATTCTATTAGAAATTTTTTTTCTTAAAAGATTTATTTATTTATTTGAAAGTCAGAGTTACCCAGAGGGGGGAGAGAGACAGAGAGAGAGAGAGAGAGAGAGGTCTTCCATCCAATGGTTCACTCCCCAATTGGCTGCAACGGCTGGAGCTGCACTGATCCGAAGCCAGGAGCCAGGAGCTTCATCCAGGTCTCCCACGCAGGTGCAGGAGCCCAAGCACTTGGGCCATCTTCTACTGCTTTCCCAGACCATAGCAGAGAGCTGGATCGGAAGAGGAGCAGCCGGGACTAGAACCAGCGCCCATATGGGATTCCAGCACTTCAGGCCAGGGCTTTAACCTGCTGCGCCACAGTGCCGGCCCCCATTCTATTAGAAATTATTGAGTTTAAGAAGGCTGTTCTATTTTAATGATAATAATGTGTACTCTATCTACCTAAAACTCAAATGATTTTACTGATTTCTGTTTAAAACATCAGAATTATGAATTTTATTGGTGAGCAAACAATGTCACATCTAAGTATTTCTCACCTGTGAACATATTATTACATGTCTTTGAAACAGAAATCAGAAATGTTTAGGAAAAAGATTGAATTATTCTAGCCTCTGGGGCATAATCCTTTGTAGGAGGTGGGGTAGAAAAATGAAAAGAACAGAGAAAGTATGCTTTCTTCAGGGTTTTTTTTTTTTTAATATTTATTTACTTATTTGAAAAACATGGTGAGATAGAGAAAGATCCTTCATCTGCTGATTCCCTCTCCCAAATGCCCCCAACAGCCCGGGCTGGGCCAAGTTGAAGCCAGGAGCCAGGAACTCCATCTGGGTCTCCCACATGGGTGGCAGGAACCCAAGGACCTGGGCCATCATGTGCTATCTCCCAGGGACACGAGCAGGAAGCTGGGTGGGAATCAGAGGAGCTGGCTCTCAATTCCAGACACTCGAACACTCGGGATGTGGCAGACTAACCCCCTGTGCCACAACACCCTCCCCACTGCAGGTTTCATACATCCGAATTCTCTTGGTCATCTAAACCCTTTAGTTTTGCCTAATCCCAACCTCCCGTGCTTTCCCTTTCAACAGCAGGCCTTTGGTAGACCCTCAGAGACCCACAAAATCAAGAGGGAAGGAAGCAGACAGGAAGTTAACAGCCAAGGAGAAAAAGAGGACTTTGTGTTTGAGGTGGCCGGAACTATGTCCTATGCAGCTTGGTTACCTGATATCAAGCCATAAAATGCAAGCATGACTTAGTGTTCACATTCACACACTGGAGCAAGCAGCCTAAGATCTACCCAGTGAACAGTTATCACTCTGTTCTATTTCAGCTCTAGTTTGCCAAGCAGTAGGATGCATCTACATATCAAGGATACCGTGTGCTCATCCTGATGAAAATTTCTTGTCCACTTTAAAATCCTAATCCTTTGGACTTTCAAATATGTTTTCATTTTTATTTGAAAGGGGGAGAAAAGGAGAGGGGAGAGGGGAGAGAGAGAGAGAGAGAGATCTTCCATCATCTGGTTCCCTCCCCAAATGCTGGCAACAGTTGCAGCTGGGCTAGGCCAAGCTTGTCTCTCTCATATAGCACAGGGACCCCAGTACTTGAGCCTCCCAGGAAGCAGAGGTGGGAAGCAAACGGATGCAACCCTGAAACGGAACGCAAGCATCCCACGTGGCATCTGACCCGCGCCGTCAGCCAGCTGCCGTGACTCTCCGTACTTCACTTCTGGTTGCCAGGCATTCCTGCTCAAGTTATCACAGTAACATCCTGATTAATGTGTGAAGATCGACACTATGATCAGCGTCTTTATAAATGAGAGTTATGAAGACACAGTGAACGGAGACAAGTGCCCAAAGCCCAGGTCACAGCTGTATCCCTTGAACAGCCAGGCACCAGCCAGTTCCACGCCTTCAACAATGGCCTCCTCCCTGAAGTGCCTCTTTCCTGGACAAATCCTGCCCCTCAATCAAGCTGGAGGGCACAAAGGAGACTGGAAAAGGGAGTGCAGTTGGGCTCAGAAGTACTCGGTTGTGTCACCGACCCATTTAGGAGCCAGGTGCCTTTGAACAAGCCACTGAGGCTCTGTTCCCCCGGCTCTTCCTTCAGGTAAAACGGAGATAACATCTGTTCTACCCATTTCAAAATGCTCAGGAAAGAAGCACTGAAGAGAATATCCATGGAAGCCCACAGGGAACTATCCAGAGCCACTTGACCTATCAGTCAAGGTCAAGTCCTACCTGATGCAGAGAAAGAGCCTTCCAGCCTTTTAACCCAGCCTCCGCTGACCTCTCCCGCTACCCTATTTATCTCAGCACTCCATATGTTTTGCCTTATGCTGCTACTTCAGTATCTCCAGGTCAAAAACATCTTCCCTCGCAGAGTCCGGCACAGGGCTGCAAGCATAGCCCTGCCTGTGTTACCCGAGCCATGAATGAAACGGTGGCACTGAGAATAGACTGACCTTCCTGGGACCATGAAAGAACCCGAGGAGCTGCCCTGTGGCATATAGCTACAGTCACACACTTAGAAGGATACGCACTTGCAGCCAGGGCTTTCTCTTTAAGGGTGCTCTCTGTAGAAAGTGCTCAAAGAGGCCAGGGCAGGGGTGACTCACAGATAGGACCCAGGGGCTCCCAGGCTGGGGAGACCTGCAGAGTGGCTCAGCAGGGAGACTCTGCCCAGCGTCCTCTCTTAGGCTCAGAAGCCCACACAGGGAAACTTCTTACGGGTCAGGTCCCTATTTGATTTCTTTTCTTTTTTTAAAAAAAATATTTATTTGAAACACAAAGTGATAGAGAAAGGGAGAAGGAGAGGGGGAGGGGGAAGAGGAGGAGAGGGAAGAAGAGGGAAGGAGAGGAGAGAGGAGGGAAGGGGAGGAGAGAGAGGAGAGATCTTCCACGTGTGGGGTCACTCCCCAAATGCCCTCAAGAGCCAGGGCTGGGCCAGCCGGAAGCCAGCAGCCAGGAACTCCATCCTGTTCTCCCACCAGCGTGGCAGGGGCCAAGCACTTGAGCCTGGACTGTCTCCCCAAGGCGCATTAGTAGGAAGCTGGAAAAGAAGAGGAGTAGCCAGGACTTGAACTAGCACTCCTTTATGGGATGTGGGCGTCCCAAGCTTAACTGGCTGCACCACAATGCCCGCCCCACCCTACCCTCATTTGACTTCTGTTTTAAATGAGACATCCTGAAGGGCTCCCATTTCCCCTGGGGGAGATACGCTCACTGTTCAGGGACTATTTTCCTCAGGGGCTCTTAATAGACTTCCCACACAACCCCTCGTGGCAAGCGCTTACCTTATCCTTGTACACCAGCGTGCTGGGGCTGGGCCGAGGCCTGTCTTTGAATGAGTAAGTGGCTGCTTGCTTGTTTAGCAGGTGCAGGAAGTCAGGAGGCATGTACTGTGGAAGATCATTCAGGACTGGATTGTTTCTTTGCACGAGAGGTGGTTTTTTCCTTCCTTCATTTTTGAAATTGTACGTTGCTATCACTGGATTTAACGAAGATTCTTCAATGAAAGTTTTCAGGTGGTATGTGCCAGGTATAGGAGTATTCTGTGAAAAATCGACATCAGTTTTAAGGCATTGTGTAAACCTGTATCTTCTCCTAAAGCACCATTTTTGGAAGGGTCATTTATAAGTAGAATTTCTGTTCACTTTTGAGTTTAATGACATCCTATCAAATCCCCCGGGCCTTCAAAAAGTTTAGAGAAATGTCTATTACTTTTAGAAATTATGAAAGAGATTTCAAAATTTTTTGCACCAAAGTAAATATTATCTTTCAATTCCACTTTTCTGCAAAGTTTCTGAAATCCTCTGGTACTATAAACACTCTTCATAGACAATATTTCAAGAGAATCACGATTAATTTCTTTCTGAAAAAATTGCTAGTTATAGCAAATGGGTTACACATGGAGTGTAACTTTTTAAAAGGTAACTTTGGATATACTACGATATGTGATTCAACTTTTTTTTTTTGACATGCAGAGTTATAGACAGTGAGAGACAAAGGTCTTCTTTCCGTTGGTTCACCCCCCAAATGACTGCTACAGCCAGCGCTGCACCAATCTGAAGCCAGGAACCAGACTAGAACCCGGGGTGCTGGCGCCGCAGGCGGAGGATTAGCCTAGTGAGCCTCGGTGCCTGCCGTGATTCAACTTTGACTACAAATTTCAGGCCGCTAGTGAGACGACTCAGGATAGGTTCTCAACTCTCTTATTTCAGCTTAGTGAAGACTGTTTCTCTCTAGCCTTCAAGAGAGAAACTGAAAGTTAATGAGACTGGGGACGGACTGGAAGCCCATAGGGTCTACTTACGCCCAGAAAGAGGTTTGGCACTTTCAACAGAGATTTGGTGCTTGCCGATCACAGGCACAGTGCGGCTGAATGGCCAGACCTGAAGGTTTAGTGATGGCTGCTCTCGTGGCTGTCTTCCCACTGAGCGCTCAGCTCACCCCACCACTATTAACTTTAGTTTAGGTGTTTCGCCTGCATGTCAAGGCATCCCTCGCTGGAGTGCTTGTGTTCAAGTCCAGCTCCATCCACCTCTAAGGCCACTGCAGGGATCTGGGGAGTAAACCTGCAGATGCGAGCTCTCTGTCTCTCTGCCTCTCAGATAAGTATTTAAAAAATTAGCTCAGTCCCAAGGAGGCTGTGATCCATGTGCCCCTCTATTACTGAAGGGTACTGAGGGTACTGAATATGGAAAATATGTCTGCAGTACAGAAACAGTACTTTTCTTTCATAAATCACCATCTCACTTCTATGCATTGACCATGGTAACAAATGTTATTGTAGGCCCTGTGCCGTCTAAGATAAAAGCCGAAACCACAACACCGTCCCACAGTGTGAGGCTTTTCTTTCTTGCACAACCTCACTAAGATCATAAATCAGACCACAGGCTGACCTTGTCTAGGTATCCTGTGAAACATCAGGTTCCTGGGCTTGTTTTATTTTCCCAATCTTTTGTTTGCACTTAAAATTTAAGGTTGATTTCCCCTTTATCTGCTGACAGGGAAGCTGAAAGGCCCACACAGATCTGAACCACCACCGTTTACTTCCAGTCCAGTGCTAGCTTAAAAGCTAAGGCCAATTAAAGTATCAATGGGAATTGGAATCATCTGAATAAGAAAGACTGAAATGTACACACTGTTAATGCTACTCTCCACCATCCTTCTCTTTCAAAAGATGAAGTCTTCCGTGTTGGTTTCTATTGAAAAACACAAAATACACTTATTTTTGAGAGGTGATCCTTTAGAACTATGTATCATTTATAAAACATTTACTTGAAGAAATTAATACCTGTACCAAATTGACAAGCCTTCATTAAAATAAAAGCTACATAATGATAAAATAAAAGCTACATAATGATAAATTTTGCCTATGTTTTATTTCCTTAAATTGCTTTTATAATCTTACATGCAAATTTCCTTGGTAATAAACATTGCATTTCAGAGATATTGAAAGGACAGTCGGCGTTCCTAGTAAAGAGTTGGGCTTGACGACAGATGGATTTAGTTGTGAACCAGAGCCCAACACTGCCCAGCTAAGGGCACTGGGAAAGTCATAAGAACATCAGAACATACCAGAGGCGGCATGAAAATCAGGCATTGCCCACAGAAACACTTGCACCCATAATCACCACACAATACATGGCAGCTTTAATTTTTAACACCTCTGCCAAGTCAACAGGTCGGTTATTTCAGTAACTTTAATCCATTCTACTTGGTACCACTGGGCTTTAATTTTACTATGAAATATGTGCATTTCTTAAAACATATTGTTCCATCCACACTGCTCTTTTTGGACGTGTATATATTATTGATGAATCTTCCTGGTTGTGCATTGTATAGTCCCAGAAAGCTTTCTCAGGCAGGTCAAGACAGACGTCCCACCTCTACGGAGAAACAGGGAGAGGAGGTGGTGAGGAGAGCAAAGAAACGCAAAGAAACACGCTCAATCCAAAGCAAGGGAACTGGCAGCTGCGGCTGGGTTTTGTCCAAGGCACGTGATCGAAACTCATCCACCGTTTATATTCATCTTAAGGGGAAAAAATAAAAGATGAGTTCATCATCCCTCATCATATTTACTTAAAAACGCAACAGAAGTTAAAAAAATTATACATAAATACTAAAGTAGGAGGCGGGACAAAATGTCCCTCATAGCCTAAGGGAGGAAAACTCCATTCTCCAGGCAGACAGAAGGAAAAAGGAGAGAAACGTCCTGTCTAGTGCAATTAACGGGGAGAAGGCAGGCACGGAAAGGGTGAGGGGAAGGCTAGCGGAGGCCGCAAGGGAAGGGGAAATAAAACTAAGGGAAGAGCCAGTGAAGACCGAGCAGAGGGGCACACAGGCCGGAAACCAGAGAGGCGGGAAAGGGCAGCGCGGGGCTAGAGGACGCCGGCCGCACCGAGGCCGCGGCGAGCAATTCCCGCTCCAGATCCTCCCGTCCTCCGGCGGCGGAGGTGATGGTGACGCCCTGCTGATCCATGGCGCCGCTCGCCCGGCCCAGGCTAGGGTCCCGTTGCTAGGAGGCGCCTGTGACCGCGGGCGGCGGCGGGGCGTGCGCAGCAGGCGCTCAGGGGTGGGGGAGAGCGGCGCGCACGCGGCACGGAGACGCCCACGCGCGCGTGCAATGAGGAAGTCCCTGGAGTCCCCTAGCAGCGTCCTCAGGTGAGAACCTGCGTCGAGGGAGGGACAAACAACCGCCACCAGCTCCGACCCCCGACAGAAATTCAGTGGGGGGGGGGGGGGGGGCCCGCACAGGATTCCCTGGCTCCGACGCCGGGACCACTGCTTTCCTCTCCGGATTTTCACGTGGCTCTGGCTTCTCCCCTTTCAAAACCAACCCTCCGCTCAACCTGAAGTTCATTGTGTGGAACACCGCCCGTGTTGCTGGGACTTCATCTAAGCCTCGTAACCAACTTGAAAAGCAGGTTTTGGTCCCGGTTTTGTGGATGAGAAAGAGCGGTGAGGCAGCAACACTCCTCAGGTGGCAGAGTTCAAGTCCGTGGCTGACCGCAGCGCCCCACTGCCCGTCAGACTTCCCATTTCTCACCTCCCTCCCGTGCTTCCCTCACCGCCTTCCTGCACACACCTTGCTAGAGACGGGACTTGCCAAAGCCTCCAGCGACCGGGCTGCTACCGTGGGCACTGGGAGTTCCTGTTCGAGCGGCCTTCATCTTTCCCTGCTGCCTTGGTTCCTTCCTCCTCCTCGCTGGACCACCTCTGAACGCCGGCCGCATTTGATAGGATTGATTCTCTGCCTGGGGTTAGTGAGATGCGGCTGAGATGTTCAGAACTGTATGGCACTGTGCCTTCAATGTGGGCTCTTCTCTTCAGGCCAAAAGCAACATCCACAGGGCAATCCCTTCTGAGACCTCATGCTCTGTACCACGCTCGCAAACCCCCAACAGCCATCTCCACATTACCGTCTCAATGTAGCTTTCACCTGGAATGCTACCTTTTTTGACTACCCAGCAAATCTTTAAGGGCCACCTGCTTGCAATAATCATCTCTCTAGGCCTAGTCCATCATGTCCCAAAGGATGTGTGCTTATCTTTATTAGAGGACTCTCTCCCCTGATTTTAAACACAACTAAAACCCAAGTTTTAAAAATTGAGTCCTTGGAACACACAGGTGATTAACATATTTGAATAAATGACCAGTTTCCCCCTCTATAAAACTGATGTTCATATCAAGTATGTGGAGATCCTGTTAAAACACAGATTTCGATTCTAATTCTGGGGCAAGGCTTAAGATTCTGCATTTCTTCCAAGACCCCAGGTGACCTGTGGGTGACTTTTAAGGTGCAAGAGACTACAGGACTTCCATCTCCCTTCTCTTAAAATACTAAAAAGGCCCCAGGTTTAAAATAGTGAAATTAGAAGGCTGAGAGGGAGGTAAACACCAGAGTCCTCACACTCAGGGAACTCGGTCTCAGTATAAGGAGTTAATCAAGTCCATCCTGTGCCTCATTTCATTTTCTTATTTTGGCTGAGCCTGTAAAACTAGCTCAGCAGACCAGGGACTGGTACCCTCTAGAGAGGTGCCAGTGCCAGTACAGAGAAGTCCAGAAACCCACACAAGGTGTGAAATTGAGGAGAGTATTTGAGAAAATAGTTTAAGCATCTCAAAAATAGAAACAGCGTGGGTCAATGATTTCAAGGACTTTACCCATAAAATAGATTAAACATGTAGGATAAACAAAATGTCCTCTGAAGAAAACACTGTGTTATGCAGCCTAAGATTTATTTTCAGGGTAACCTAAAAGTTTGGAATAGGTCCCGATGGGGAGGCATTTTTCAGAATACAAAACTACAGTACACAGAGCTCAACAATGGCTCCATCTCTGATCTTTACAAGTCTTACCTTCTTCCAAAAATTCAAGGAGAATGCATTACACCTTAATCGCAAAGGTGACAGTTTATTGGTAAAATTATGAGAGCAAAATCTTCAGATGAATTATTACCATAATCCTAGCACAAAACTAAAACTGGTTAAGACTTGAAGTATTTCCTTAAAACTATACCCCGGGATATTTACAGGAAGTAATGGAAATGAGATTTCAATCCAGCTCAGTATGTGCTTAATTATCATTCAGACAGGAAGTATCACAAGTTCTCATATGTGGAAGCTAAAAAGAAAAATCTGAACACAGAATGCAGATCACAAGAATCTGAGGCAGAGTGATAGCAGGAAACTGGATTAAAAATAGGGTAAGTTGGGTGTGCTTTTTGGATACACAGTAAAATATATTATTGAGAAGTTGGGTGTGAGATACATGGAACTCTGCACAAGTGTAATTTTTGGTTTATAATTTTCAAAACTATTCAGGAGCCAGCACTGTGGCATACTGGGCTAAGGCTCCATCTTGCAGTGCCAGCATTCCACTTGGGCACAGGTTCAAGTCCCAGCTGCTCTACTTCTGATCCAGCTCTCTGCTATGGCCTAGGAAAGCAGTGGAAGATGGCCCAAGTGCTTGGGCCCTGCACCCACATGGGAGACCTGGAAGCTCCAGGCTCCTGGCTTTGGATGGGACCAGCTCTGGCTGTTGCAGCCATTCGGGAAGTGAACCAGCAGATGGAAGACTGGTCTCTCTTCTCTGCCTCTACCTCTGTAATTTTCAAATAAATAAATGGTTTAAAAAATTTAAACTTCAAACTGCTGAAACTGGAAAGACACTAATATTAACTACCCGATATCCTCATTTTTCAGGGTTAACTGGTTTACAGTTAACACTGACCAAGCAAACACCAAGATGTTAAGATATATGCTAAGGTACTCTACCTTCAATAATTTCACTGAATTTAAAAACAAAAGACAAAAACCAAGTTGGGTCAGGCATTAATGCAAGTGTTAAGATGCCCACATGCCATCTGGGATCCCCTGGGTTTTGAGTATCAGCTCGACTTCTGATCCAGTTCCCTGCTAACTTTAAGATTTACTTATTTGAAAGGCAGAGTGAGAGAGGCAGAGAGAGAAAAGTCTTCCATCTCTTGGTTCACTTCCCAAATGGCTCCTGCAGCTGGAGTTGGGCTGATCCTAAGCCAGGAGCCAGGAATTTCTTCTGGGTTTCCCACGAGTGCATGGGGCCCAAACACTTGGGCCATCTTTCTGCTGCTTTCCTAGGCTATAGAAGAGAGCTGGATTGGAAGTGCAATAGCTGGGACTCGAACCGTCCATATGGTATGCTTACCCACTATGCCACAGCACTGGTCCCTCTATGCTAATTGATTGATGCACACCCTGGGAGGCAATGGATGGGTCAAGTACTTGGATCTTGCTTCCCAGGTCAAGACCCAGAATGAGTTCCAGGCATGAGTGAAACCAGCAAGACAGAAGGTCTCTTTAAACAGACAAAAACATTAAGTCAAAAACCAGCCGAGTAAACCGTACCCTTTTCACAGGTTAAGGAAACTGAGGCTTGATAATAGACCTTCAAGGTCACACAGTGATCTGAAGACTGCTACAGTTAAAACTCCAGGGACCATACTTGTTTTAAAAACCTAAAATGTGGCCACCGCTATGGCACAGCAGGTAGATACCACTTGCAGTCCCAGCTGCTCTACTTCTGACCCAGCTCTCTGCTATGGCCTGGGAAAGCAATGGAAGATGGCCCAAGTCCTTGGGCCCTTGCACTCGTGTGGGAGACCCAGAAGCAGCTCCTGGCTCCTGATCGGCACATCCCCGGCCATTGCAGCCAACTGGGGAGTGAACCAAAGGATGGAAGACCTATTTCTCTCTCTGCCTCTCCTTTTCCGTATGACTCTTTCAAATAATCTTTAAACAAAAAACAAACAAAAAAACACAAACTAAGAAAATGCCCCAACAACCAGAAATATGACTTTTGTTCCACTAAATACTTTGTTTGCATCTCCCTTTGACCAAACTCACTACGTCTAATAAATGGGGCCTCAGTAGAGCACACATCTAAAATCTTCCAATTTAATTCACCTGTGACAATATAATTACCCTTATTAGGGTTATTAATGCCTATTAACTTCCCTTGCTCTGCCTAAAACATATTTAATCACTCTTTTCTTCCATTAGCCATCCAGTTTCCTATTTTCTAGAACTAAAGAGCAACAATATTAAAACAAAGATGGGGCAGTATCAAGCCAAATAAGGAATTGTCCCCTTGTTAATTAAAACCCTGTGGTAACAATTATACTTAATGTTTTAACCTTGGCTCTGGTTGCTATGAAATCTTTCATTAAGTATTTAAAAGGTAGTTAAAAAGCAAAACCCTGACACAACTACCTTTTGAGTAGCTTAAATTATAGAGAAAGCAATGCAAGCAAAAACTAAAACAAGGCTTAGTCATTGCCAGTCTACTCCCCGAAAGCCACCTTTTTTGCAGTGAAATGTGTCACAGGCCAGTACAACTGAAAAGTCCCTTTTTCTCTTGTGGTAATAGAATTTTAAAAGCACAATTTAAAGATCAGAAAATAAAACCATGACGACACTCCCCAACTAGATTTGAACAGTTTTAACATCTCTGTATAGCTGAAGTGAACATGGATGAAAAGATCTGAAGTTAAAAAAGATTTTTTAACCTAAGATTTGAGAGTCAGAGTTACACAGAAAGAGAATCAGAGAGAGAGAGAGAGAGAGAGAAAATAAGTCTTCTTTCCACTGGTTCTCTCCCCAATTGGCCACAACAGTGGGGGCTGTGCCAATCAGGAGCCAGAGGAGCCAGGAGCTTCTTCTGGGTCTCCCACATGGGTGCAGTGGCCCAAGGATTTGGGCCATCTTCTTCTGCTTTCCTAGGCCATAGCAGAGAGCTGGATCGGAAGTGGAGCAGCCAAGACTCAAACCGGCACCCATATGGGATGCTGGCACTGCAGGCAGTGGCTTTACGTATTATGCCACAGCATGAGCCCCTAAAAAAAAGATTTTTAAAAGGTAGAGAACAACCACCTAACCTGCCACTAATTCCCATGCCAGGTACAAAAAGGTTTTTAGATTTCCCATTCGAATATTTAAAAGTACCCTCATTTAAACACTAAATACAATCTTGAGGCCAGCACTGTGGGTAAAGCCACCGCCTGCCATGCTGGCATCCCATATGGGCACCGGTTCGAGTCCC